GAGAACTGCCATTAGATACCAATTGCAGTGATAGTTTCTTGTGAGCGGAAAATCATTTTAAAAATGCAGGATTGAGACAACCTGATGAATTTCATGGAAGTCAAGGGGTTTGTCTCAAGTGGGGAAGATGTTCTGCTTGTTGTTGAACTAGTGCAGATTCTCAGAGATGCAGATACAAGTAGCCAGACGGTTTTTCCTTTGGGGTAGCTCCTCCTGATAGCCATTTTTGATGTTTGACCTCTTTAACAGCATGACCTGAGGGAAGGTGGAAGCAAAGTCGGGGGCGGGAGGCAGGGGGGAGGGCGGAGGACGGGCGCTGGTGAAAGGCAGACATCAACTTATGTATTGTTTGTTACGGGATTTGAATGTCTGCCTCCATACTGGAGATCAGGGCTAGAGGTCAGTGATCAAGTGCTTGTTCTTAGGCGGGAGAAATGCTCCAGGGTAGGTTGAGGATGCGATAACAAAAACACTGCACTTGGCACACATTGTAGCCCGGAATGAAATGGGTAAGGGTTCCCTGAGCCATCCAAAATACCCAGCATCACGTTAATTCAAAGAGGCTTGACCATGAAAAGGGAACAAGTCTTGCTTTCCAGGGCTTGCAAGACTCTTTGAGGTTCCATAAAGACCTTGTGCAGGGTCTGTCTTGCTTCCAGTAGCCCGTTCTCCCTCATTTTCTAGCTTGAAACTGTCTCCTTCCCCCGTGAAAGTGCCCTTCTTCGTGCATGCTAAGGAAGAGGCACGTGTAGGAAAAGGCACGTCCTGCATCCTAAAACAGATTGAAACCACCCTAGAAAAGGTTACCACCTTCTTGGTTTGCTTTTGGCTGGTATTATGGCTGGAGTTAGAAATGGACTCACTGCACTCACTTTCAGTGTGTGTCCAGCAAGCGTGCATTTAAAACTGTTTTAATGATGGGTAATGACAAATTTCTAACAGGCGCATTATTGTGTATTTGATTCAAAACCAGCACTAAATAGTTATCTAGATATCCGAGTTTGATGCCAGAGTAGTTTTTTTTGTGTAAGGTGCTTGATGGAAATCAATGCAAAAAGCAGAGGTGCTTTCCCTGCCGTTGCTGCCACGGCACTGTGGTCTTTGGTCCCTTTGGCAGAGGTGAACCACTCAAAATGTGCCTTGGATGAGCAGCTGCTGGAGAGACCTGCTTCTAATGGCAGTTTTGATGTCAAACCCATGTTATAATTGTAAAATTTCTGGATTTGGAAAATACTGATAAAATGTTGATAATAGCATGTTCAGGCAATGATGAACAGACTTCATTTACAGTCTATTCTGCACACTGCTGAATCTCAACTGTTTGGTGAAACTTAAAAGTTCCTGTGGAGCATCTGCTTTTCACATGCTGTGCTCCAGAGGCCAGATCCTGCTGCAGCTTTGCGGTCAGCCTGAGCCCCCCACTGCTGGCATTTTTCTTTTCCCGAGGAAAAAAAAATCCTTCTCATTGTTAACCCGAGGGGGTTTCCTAAGCTTGCTTTGTGAGGGAGGGCTTGCTTCTTGAGCCTGAACATTGTGCGAAGGGCATGCCCTGCTGAGCACATTCATTTGGTGCTTAGAATTTTCCCTTTAACTTCTACAAAATTGCAGTTCATTCCTAGGAAGCATGGCTGTGGGCCTCTGTACAGATACATTTTTAAAACACAAGGATATAATATGCATCTCGAAAAGCTGGGCTATTTCATCTCCCTGCACAAATTTCATTTGATGAATAACAGATCCTCTATTAGCCAGAAATAACTCGATTTTGTTTTCCATCTATCTGGTCTGAGATGACGCTAATAAGAATAAATTAGGAGGTAACTGAATGAAATTCAATATGTAAAATTAGTGGGCTGATGTACCAGGCAATGGCAGTGACTGTGGGGGGAGAAGTGGACTGGAAAGGGAGGCAGTGCAGAACCGGGGACTGTGTGTTGCAGCCAGCTAAGGCGCAGCTCTTAATAAAGTGGGAGCGAGGGGGTGAAAATGAAAAAAGGGGGAGGGGGAAGGGGAGGGAGAAGGAGCTGGGCTGGGAGCGGTGGGAAAGCCAGGGCATCCTGATTTGCACGAAAATGCAACGCTCATTTGCAACTGGAAGGAGGCCGGGGCTGCCCGGCCCCCCCGCCGCCGGCGGGCACCGGGGAGGTGCGGCGGGAGGAGGGCGGGGGCAGGGAAGGTGCCGGCATCTCCTGCTGCTCCGTCGGCAGAGCCGGCTGGAGCGATGGGAAGGAGCGCAAGCACCTGCCAGCTCGGGACTTTCTGTAGTAGCCTAACTTGGAGAGCGGAGGGAAGGAAGAGAACAAGAGCAGTATAACTGCGTGGACAGCAAGAAAGGCCGATTTTTGGTCCTGCGCAAACGTGAATAACAACTGGGCTTTTTTTTTTTTTTCTTTCTCCTGTTTTACTTGTTAAAACTGGCTGTTTTCAGCCCACAAGGTTACATGTGAGGAGAAGAATTCAGGTTAAAGAATTGTTAATTATTTTATCCATCAGAAAGGTCTAGACAGATTTAAAGTGATTTCAGGGAAGAAAGGCGGAAGGGAGAAACCTGGAGAAATTTGGTGTGTGGAGTTTGAACAGGATCAATCTGGCAGTCACCTTTCTGCAGCTCCTCCTTTCTACGGGACTTCAGCTCCAGGATCGCAATTCCACACCTTGAAAATGGTGGTTTTCATCAACACAAAGCTTAAATCTCTCATGAAACTTTTCAAGAGAAAGAGTAAGTAGCTGTGCGTGCTCCCTGTCTTTTCGGAAGGCAGCCCAGTTCTGCAGGAAAGTGCAATTCCCTTCGGCTTTGCTCCTGCTTCCTTTGGCCTCTTTTTAAGTTTCTCTGTCTTCTTCCTTGATCATTGCGGAGTGTGTGGAGGCAGCCTTGTGAGGGGCTTTAGGAACTCTGCGTTGGGACACTGTTGCTTGTGAAATGCTTTGTCACGGTGATATTGAAGGATCCAAAGTTCTCGGTGTGAAATGGGGAAATCGGTGACAAGACAGGGTGTGCCGGTGTAGCGACAGTCGTGCCCAGGTGTTGGGCTGTGTGTCGTGGCATCCTCATGGTTTGTCAGACATCTGACTCTGCTTGTGCAGATGTGGGCTTGTGTCTCTGAGGTATCTACATAAAGCTTGTTCTGAGACTAAGTTTGTTTTTTAAGTATGTTCTAGTTTCAGAGTGACTTTCAAAATCACAGTTCTTAATTTAAATCATGAAGGACAGACAAATCATACTAGAGAGATTAGTTGGCACAGCACTTTTGTTGAGTAGTTTTGATGACCGATGTTACTCTCACGAGCAGTAAACCTTAATTTTGGTGTGGCAGGACTGCAGCCAGACGGTGGGCTTGGCAGCTGGTGTTTCCCTCCTCTTCCTCCTCCAGCCTTGCTCCCCTCCCCACCCACCTGCTCAGTCAGGGGATGGCAAGGGTGCCTTTCAGTGACTTTACCTGCCACTTTTTCTGTTAGATCGGGATGATTGATGCTGTAACCAGGTTGGTGGTGACTTGTCTGGTTGTCATGATTTAGGTTTGACCTCTGGTTAGCAAGAACAGGAAAGGTGGGCATAGACTGAATGAGTATCTGCCTTGTTGCAGCCAATGTCTGTGAGAGGGGATGGGATGCAGGACCAAGACTCAGAGATGAGGACATTGAAAGTCTTTAAAAACCTTTTTCGAAGTCTGAAACTAATCTAAAAAATTTGAGGAGATATAGATAAGGACCTTCCCCCTATTCCAAGTCCTTTTAGGAAAAAGCAGGCATAGAGTATTAGGCTATAGATGGGTTTTGAAGTGAGACGCATAGCTTATTTTCTTCAAAAAATAGCAATTATTTCCATCTGAAATGATCCATGCACAGTGGTGTTAAGGAAAGTGTAATTTTTCACGTCAGGAGGCTGTTGCCTCTGTTTTGCTTCTCAGTTTTACATACGTCTTCTGCTACCACAGGGGCATCAGACAAACTTCACAAAGTGATGCTACAGGCAGTGCAGCAGCAAAGAAAGTGAAGATACAGAACTGACAGCGAGGCCCAGGATAGCAGGGCTGTGGCAGCAGGGCAGGTGCTTGGGAGGTAGCACAGCTGTAGTGGCCTTTTCTGCTATGGAGAGCTAAAAAGCAAGGATGTGCAGCATACTGGCTGAAGGCCAGAGGGTGCCTGGGGAACCATAAAATATGACCCCCAACTGCCCTTTTTCTGTTTACAGCAGGGTGGAGGGATAAGGCTATTCAACTGTAGAAGTTTTTATTGATGATAAACTTGAAACAAAAGGCAGTGGCACTCTCTCGGGAAACATAAATGATAAACAAATCTCTGCAATATATGCTTTGGCTGATTCATTGCTAGACTGTCTGTAGGGAACTTTGAGCTTGAACAAGGTCTGTATTTTGTTTTCACACGTGTATTGGCTGCAAAGAGGTGGCCAGAGACATCCTTCTTCAGTGCTGTTGTGCTCTGAGCAGTATTTGTCCATGGAGTTGCTTTTGTTCAGATCTGCTTTCCACTCATGACAAAGGAAAGTAGTTTAATTTATTTGCTTCACTGGAATCTTCTTGCCTGGTTTGAGCAAGCCTGAGGTCAGACAAGGTTGTTTCCCAATACAAATGAACCTGTTGTAATTTCTCATGACGATTGTCACATTCCCAGGGTCACCTTTGAGCAAGACAAAGCTATTTTGCACTTCACAGCTCCTACCATGATCAGGGGATGGGGAAACTAATGTCCTTTGTGAAGACTGAGAAATGGGGGGGGGGGGGGGGAATTGCAAGTTCAGAGTAAATAAAACAGCAAGTGTACGCATGGGAAAGAGAGAAAAGTGTTTCCTACAGGACATAATTTTAGAGTAGAAATGAGTTTTATAACTGTTAGGGAAATGAGGTTCTAGAGAGCATTTTGGTGGGTCTACAGTGGCAAACATTATTTTTAGATGATGTGCGGTGAATTTACATGTGGGTTTTCATAATAGAGCTATCTGCAGTAACATTTAATTTTCTTACTGTTGTGTCTCTCTACAGCTGTTTCCAACCTAGATGAAGAGAGTAGATGGTCTGTGCATTATACTGCTCCATGGCACCAGCAGGAAAATGTCTTCCTACCCTCCTCAAGACCACCTTGTGTGGAGGACCTGCACAGACAAGCCAAGCTGAACCTCAAGTCAGTACTAAGAGGTAAGATGCCGCTACTCACAAAGACATGTCCTAAGGGGACAGTAGTTTTTGCCACAGTCTTTGCAAACATATTCAGATTAAAGGCTTTGGAAGAAGTTTATTTGTTCTTCTGCCTGCAGCATATCTGGAACATTAGCAGGATTTACCCACTCAAATGTAGAGAATAGAGCAAAAATGTTTTTGCCATGTAGAGGCAAGTAAATGTGTTACCTGGAAGACCATCTAGAATAGAAAAGGGGAAAAGCTTGTTTCTTTTTGCCATTTCCATGTTTCCAAAGTGGTACGTTCCTTTTCAGTAAGTCCTGAATTAGTCCATTTATGGAGTAAAAACCATATTGGGGTGTTTCATTTGGAGATTTCTTCTGTTCTAAAGTGTCATTCCCAGGGCTGTTGCTACTTGTGGGAAGCTGGAAAAGGCGCTAAGGGCAGAAAAGGGAAATGAGAAACAAGGCACTTGCAAGGACCTCTCCAGTGGTAAAAAAGGTTTCTTGCAGAGGGTGCAGCATATTTTTAAAGACCAGTTTTTACCCTTAGTACCTTCACTGGGGATGTACCTATACAGTCTGTTATAGGAGGCATTGTGTTGTGTTAGTGCAGCCATGAGGACAGAGGCAGGCAGGCAGCCAGCGGGGAGGCCTGCAGATCGACTGTCCCTGGGGCAGAGAATAAGTTTAAAATAACAGGAGAATGTCCGTGTTCTGAGAAAGGTTAACCTAGATTTTTCTTTACACTGACTGTTTAACAGAGGGGGTTACCCTGTCAAGAGCCAGCTCATTCAAGTCCCTTTTTGTTTCAGCAGGAACTGCAGGTAATTGATACGTTGCAGAGTTGACCTGATTTTTGAAAGAATATTGTATTTTTTATTTGTTTATCATGACATTTCCGCTTTTTAGATGTGAAGAAACCTTCATTTTGTATGTCTGAATAGAGAAGTGTTCAACCGCCATATTTTATTTCTCTTGCCATTTCCCCAGTTAATTGATTTTCACCGTCTCTTACTAGGTGCTTTTCATTATCATTTAATAGGGGAGTCTTGACAGCCAGTGTTATTGAAGCTCATGCATGGCTCAGCAGATAGCCTGTGTGCCCTCTGTACTTATTATTGGATTAATACATTTGTGCAGCTCCTTACCCTTGGAACATTTACTGTTCCCTTGCAGGCACACTTACCAGTTCCTTACAAAACAAAAATATTTGCCTGCTTGAGATTAAAAGAATACTGATTGTGGTTAGCTTTTTGTGAACTTTAACCATTCCTGCCAATATTTTTTCCAGTCTCTGTTTTGGACTGTTTAAAAAAAAAAAACAAAACCAAAAAAACAACAACAACAACAACAAAAAACCTACACAGGCTAAAATGATGCACTGATTTTCTTGAGTTTTATCAGAAAGGTATCTACTGCAGTTTCATGTTCTATTTAAATAAATTTATGTCTAATATATTTGTGTGAAACCAAGTAATATGTGCTGCTTCCCCCAGCTTATACAGCTGCAGTTATTTTGGTCTGCTGGGATTTTTCTCATGATGTAGGATTCCTTGGTAGTGAAGTGAATTTCAGCTTTACACTTTCAGGGTAGTAAAAGAGAGAGAAGAAACTGTGTGATGATGTCTTTATCAGACCTCATACTGCTGACTTAGTGAACACAGCTCATTTATTTATTTGTTTAACCTCAGGCTCTTTCCTTGAACCACATTTTTACCCTATGGGCAGTTTTAAAATAGCTCCTTGCTGTGACCTGTAACTGTCCTGAGGAGCTACAGCATGAGCTACAGTGTTTGCAGTAATTTCATTCTTGCCTATAGGGGCTCTGAGTAGGAAGAGAGGCACTGACTTAAGTTTTATCAGTTTTACCCTACTGCTGCTTCAACCAGCACTGTGAAATCAGGAAGTCAGGAAATCATGCTAAAATGGAAAAAATGCTTCTGATGGTATTTGGAGAATTGAGTTCAAAGTTCTGTATCAAGAATAAAGTTTTATTCAGTGTAAAAGTACTGCTGAAACTGTGACATAATTGTGACAACTGCTGAACTTCTACCTGTTGCTTTAGGGAAGACAGAGTTTTCCAAAGCCTTTTAATGGGTAGGACATAAATTCAATGTTACGTGATTATAGTGTAGAAGAACTTGAAGAAAACTAGTCTCATGAGAAGCACCGTTAGGCTAGCATAGTTCTACATTTCTTGACCTCATGATGTAGCTTGCAGTTGGACATCTCTTTGTTATTTCATATTCTTCGGTTGAGGTGAACCACGGGGCAGTAGATGGTGATGGGGAGTGAATAACATTGGATTAAAGATACACTATACTCTGTGCAGAAAGAGTGGGATGAATCCCCTTTGTTTCCAGCAAGCGTTTGCACAAATTGGAAGGGAGTAGAACTAAAGCAAAATAATCTTTTCTTTGTAGTAAGTAGGGAATAAAGTAGTGGACATGCACAGTAGTTAAGAAATACTTGGTTTAAGAATAAAAGATTAGGATTAGAAATATAAATTGTATGGTATGTAACCTTTCTTGAGAGAAATAAGTACACTTCCTGGTGATCTCTGCATGCTTTTTCAGGAAGCAGTGTTTTGTTTGGAGAAGGAAAGTATTATTTCATTAATTTTTGCGCAGTTTATTATTTTACTTTGTATATTACATATTGAGGATAAGCGTATCGTCTGCTTATCACATTGTGGAAGTGGATGCAGCATATGACAGTAGATGTTGTATGGGGAGATATTTTAGCTTTTTGTACCTATGAACCTTTTACCCTTTGAAATCAAAGGGAAACACTGTGCTTTTCCTTTATGAAACTACTTTAAAGTATAAGTGGTGAGATCTTGCATTCAAATGTGTTCATAACTGAGATAAAGCTATCTGTCCTTCTTTAGCATGCATGCTCAGATGCCCTCTGAAGTTTTAAAAAGCAGTAACTGAATTAAAAAATGAAGCACCTGGAACATGAAAAGTTTGTGATGCAGAGTAGATCTGTTCTTGAGAACTGAAGTTGCTTTATGTAACCTGTATTAAATTTTAAAGTTGTCATTGACTGAAATCAGTGGCTTGATATATTTAACCCAAGCTGCGTTACTTCATTTGAAGTGAAAGGTCTCAGTAGCTTAATCTGATGGTTAGGGAAGAAGAACATTTTCAGCTGTGCTTCATAGTCATGGTACCATTGCAGTATGATTTAAATGTTTAGAAAATTATGCAGATGTTAGGTTGTGGTGATAGATACAGTATTTTTCCTTACTGTTTTGTTTGCATTGGATAAAGCAGACTCTCCCATCCTTTGGGGAAGGAGCCAGGCCCTTAGGGTGCCTGGCGAAGCAGATGGGCAGACACGTGCCATCCAAGGTGTGTATTTTCTTACCCTCAGGGCCAAGCTGCTCAAAGTGACCTTTCCTGAAAGCCTGTCTTACGTGGTCTCTTCCTAATGTTTTCATGGTCATCTTATTGAAGGTGTTTCTCAACATACAGATGTTCAGATAGAAACAAAATTATGCTGAGCATTGAGGAGTCTTGTGTGACTCTGCTTTGTGCCGCTGTTTCCTCCTAGGAAGTCATGAAAACAGGAGGTGAAGACAGCAGATGGAAGGGAAGAACTGAGGCTCTGCATGGGGCCAGGATCGTCAAATCAATGCTCTTCCTTTGCACTGTGTGCTTTGTTCCAAGGCTGAAGGACTGCTTGACTTGTTTAGTCTCATGTCGTTCACATCTACTGAGCGGCTGGACCAGCTCCGAGAGTCTGGTCTGGACAGCAGCAGAGGTGTGAGTTTAATGTTGTTCAGAGTGGCATTGTTTCTTAAGGCAGGTTGCTACTTGTGCTGAAGAGACAAGTGCCACGTACTGCAGTGTTTCCTGCGGTGTTCTTGGTCCATGAGGCCAAGAGGTTTTAGTGGGTGTTCAACCAGAGTCAAGAGGGTAGCACTATAAAACAGCTCCCATCCCTGTGCATTGACAGATCTGGCTGGTTGCGTGGTCGTAGTTGAAGAACCACTGTCTGAGGAAGTCCCTGAAGTATAGTGGTCTTCAGCTGGGAGTGCACATACAACAGCTGTAGACTACAGCAACAACACAAGTATTTGATAATGAAAGTAAATTGAGACTAATCCTCATTTTGTGAGCTGTATTATACTCTAAAAATGACAGTTAATAAAGCGTGAAGCATGAAGATTTAGAGGAGAGACAGCAGTGTGGTAGTGCTGCTTTGCTTTACTGCTTGGAGTGTATCAGTTAGTTACAGGTGTAGGTTCAATATCCTAAGAGGAAAGCCTAAAGTAATCTGGAATGAATTGGCCTCTGATAATCTTGCAAACTATGATGAAGTGAAGGAACAGCAAAAAAATTCTTACCATGTACCTGAACTCTCTTTATTTCTACATTTTTTGAACTATTCTATATTCTCCCTCAGATGTGGATATAAATCAGTTGCAGTGATGGGAGCCAGAGCAGGACGTATAGGGTTGCATTTCCAAAGGGCAGTTGTCTTCCAGTTCCTGCAATTAGTAGTGTAGAACACTTTTGCTTTATAAAAAGAAAAAGGTGGGGGAGTACGGACTTCACTGTTGTGTATTGTCACTTGTTCGTGAGCTGGGAGACAACTGGCATAAAGGACAGGAATGAGACAACTGTATTAAAGGGCAAACACAGTGAGACTGAAATGATACCAGGCTGTTAATAGATAGCCAACTCCTGAAGGGTATTGTGAACATACTCTCTGCACTGAGGGTTGATGTCTCGGCACACACTGCTGGTCACTGCCCAGGCTTTCTGTCCTTTCCAGCAGATAGATAACAAGGTGTCAGAAATGTACTGAGGAAGGTGTAGTTGTAAATGGTTGGAACGGTCTAAATGTTGACTTTCATACCCCTTTTTAGACTATAACTGCTGAAACTTCTGTACAACTGCCTGTATTTGTTCCTTCCCCCTCCCCCCAGGGCAATTGTGTTGATTCAAACTACGTACATAATACAGAGCTCGTTGTTCCACTGTATGCCGATGATTCATTTATTAT